AGGAGTTTTGTGCACTGCCTTTATTCCCTGAGTCCTATCTGAGTTGCCATTGATTTGTGTGATTTACTGATGTATGTAAAGATTCTTAAATATTGTTTTGCTGGATCAGAATCTAACAGCACAGTGGTATTGTAACCATGCCTTGCATATAAGATCTTCTAAAACAGAAGCACCAAGCACTGATTGCCACTTACTAAAAGAACAATGAATCATCGGTATTGAAATAATTGAGGGTAGTAACCTGTATGGGAAGAACTAAAAATGACCAACGACCTGCCATTGTAGGGAAAAAAATACTAAAAAAAATAGTAAAAATAAATAAATGGTATTTGCATGAGATGGCAGTTCACTTCACAGCATAATGCACAAACATTTACTGATACAATGCAGATGACATGGCATCCAGAGAACATTTGTTTTCTACTGCCTAGATTTCTTCCAAACACATTTATAACTTGTCTCAATTGCCCGTATGTTCTTTGTAAGCTGTATGCATTTGAAGTAATTAGGGAATATTATTAATGGAGAACTGTCTCAAGACAGTGGCCTTCTGCTGCTAGACAAATGCCATGATGACATTTTTTGAAGCAGGAGGCATATATCCAGTCACATTCTTCTGGTCTTGTGACTTCATTTCTATAATGCCAGACAATTAATGATGTTTATCCTACCACGGCATCGCATCTGATGTGCCCTGCTCTAGGAAATGTCTTGGGCTATGCGTGACGATGACTCTAGCAGAAAGTGCAGTTCTGGGAGGGATTTCTGCCTTGCAACTCTCTGGATTTGGTTCCCAGTTGCAGCTCCTGTGACTCACAGTACCAAACCAGGCAGAGTTAAACGAAATGGTAGCTACCTTATGAAGCATGGCATCAAATCAATCACGCTATTTGTTGCTGTGGTATTTTACCTTCCAAGGCTTTCATTTGTAGACCGCCTAATTAATGGAAAGGTGGAGCTCCGTTTCGCTTTGGCCATTAACTCATGCATCATACTAGCAACGTCCTACAGCATTATTTTATGTAACTCTTAATAAATGTTTTCAGAGTAGTCAGTGGAGTCTTCATACAGATTACTGCTCTGAGATTTCTTAATGCAAGTTTTAAATGTTTGTTTTCAGAGCCATTGATCATGTTCAGGATTTCCACTCTGTTGTACTAACTAAAAAAAAAACAACTGAAAAAAAAAAAGCATTCTCAAAGATAAGTAAATGAGAAGGACATGAAAACTGTTCGTTCTGCTAAGTGTGGACTTGCCATTTGATTTATTGTTCAGACAGTGATGAAAATCGGGAAGGAGTGAAGCTCGGGGAGCTACATTTTGCCAATTATTTTAATACATCTTTGCCACAGCAGCCATTGTGGCGCTTACTTGAGTAATGTAAAATGAGAACAATAGATGTTTCACTGCTTTTAGGTGCCTGGGAGATGACTGTAGCAGGAGCTGTGATGGTGGTGAAATCACATAAGCTGGTCACACAACATAAAACAGTTACAAAGTACATCCAGATTGATGTATGCTTGCTTAAAATCTTGTTATTTCACTGGATCCTTTAGAGTTATGATTATATTATTGACAGCACCTGACAGTAGACAGAACATCTACTACACAATAAACAGTGCAGTGGACCAAAGGGCAATTTTCATTTCTCTTTACTATTCCAAGAGTTAAGTGTGTGTGAGGTCCAAAGAAGGTGGAGATAAATGACATGCATAGGAAAAGAAGATGGAGAGGGGTTTTGACCTTTCATTGAGTATCAGAAATAATCTGACATTTGCTTTGTCCATGCCTATCATTGACAACACACTTGAAAACAAAACAAGAGGAAGCTTAACAACAGCACATCCCACATGGTAACAGAGTTTTGGAAGGAGTTTTGAAATCCTTACTGCCAAACACAGATTATTCTGCCACAATATTTACAATATTTGTGCAAAAACCTTTTTGCTTCCTCCAATAACAGCTTTGTATGTCAAACTGTTAATTTTCAGATATTTAATACTGAATGATTTAACAACTCTTCATAAACAGATACCAGTGACAAATTACATCAAATAAACCCCAAACTGAATTTTAGCAGATATAACAGGCGCCTAGAAAGAAACTATTGAAAATGTGTTTTTCTTTTTTTTTCTTTCCTTTAAGTTAGCCGATAGCTTTTCATGGTAAAACTGAATAAAACTAACCACTTAGAATTAAATTGCACTTGGATTAGTTACAGATGTTCAGGATTAAAATACATATGTATTTGGAAAAACTATTCTCAGTATCCACTAGGTGGCACACAGTGACCGCCTTAAGGTCACCTTATCTCCACAAAACCTCCCATTCATACAGCAGATAAAGAACTGCATTATTAATTTATACCACTGCATCCACTCTACACCTAATATTTGTTTAGCCAGCTGTTTCCTCTAATCCTCCTTAAACGCTATTGATTGAAATCCTGAGTATATTCAGACTTTTTTCCCCAAAGAACATTTTGTAACCTACAAATTACAAGCTACCTTTTCAAGCCCAGTACTGTATCCTACAGTTACTAACAGTGGAGACAGAATGTCTAATACTTCCTCACAAGCAACAGAAGCAGCTTGTAATATGAAAATGATTTTTTTCCCCCCTCAACTGTACTTTTCATTTTTAGGGAGTTTTAAGTAATGAAATACACTGTCAGGTTCACTGAAATCTAGAAATGCAAAGTATTTTAAATTCCAAGGGTAGTTTAACCACTGCTTCAGTGCAACAGCAAATCAAAAGCTGTTGAAAAAGAAATTATTAATTTCAATACTCACTCTTTAATCCTTGCACAAAAATGGAAAACTTCCAGTACATTTAAATCTGAGTAATTACAAAGTCACCCTTCCCTTGAAGACCTCAATCACTTTTTAAGCTTGGTCAGTATTATTTCCTGTCTTTTACTGAGGGGCTGGGAGGTTAAGTGACTTGATTAACTAAATATTGATACCAGCTCTTTTGGCTTCATACTGTGACCAACAGTGAACAACTATATTTCATTTGCTCACATTTCAGCATAAAATCAGAGACTGACAAGTTCTCAGTGCAGCAGACAATGCTTTTCTTGCTCTTTCACAAATTATAAAAACAAAGGTGCACTGCAGCATGACAGAATCACCACCCTTTTCTGAAGTCTCTCTCCCAGAACCCCAAACCTTTGTACTACCATAATTACTCTTCCTGTTTTTTAGAAGTTGCTAGTTGTTTTAGCCTTACTAACTGAAAATGAGAGGAAACTGAACATTAGGAAAGTGTGCTTTACTGTGAATTACACTGGCAGTTATGTCTCTGAATAGGACACTGCTATAGATAACACTTCTTCATAATGACATGGACATTTTTCTCTTTCTCATTAGAATGTTCTTGAAGGTTATTAGAAAAACTGGCCTTCTGGCACATTTTCAGAGCAGGCCAGGAGTGTCTTGATTATTACCTTCACAGATTTATTATTCAACTCGGAAAATCTGCTCTTTAACAAACAATTTTTTTCTTTTTGCTTTGACTGCTGTGTTTAAAACATCACAAATTAACCTTTTTCTTTCTTTTCCTTTCTGCTTTTATTTCTTCTTTCAAATTTCTCTTTTGTGCTTGTTACTAACTTTAATACAGGTAAGTATACACAGGTTAGGTTCTCAACACATTCAGAGCAACTCCACTTAGCTGTTCTCAGGAGTTGAAGGTCTGCCACCAGTAGATATGAGAAACCAAGGAAGCATGAGCTGTCTTTGTAGCACAAGGATTTGGCATTCTGTGTGACACTCGTTGGTGCGAGAATGTTAACTACTGGTTGTCTCTGGAGGAGTTACTGGTAATCATTTTCCTGTTTATGGTGCATTTCTCTATATTCTATAAATGCTCAATCTTCAGAAAGTGTTTACTCAGCGGGGGTGTATTGGTTACACAGACTTCTTGCACCTATGCTTTCAGCTGCCATGTTTCTTAACATTTTCCTAAAAAAAAAACAATAGGACTCTTTCTGTATTTAAACACTAGAATAGTCTTGCTAATCATTAACACAAACTCATCATTGTCAGTAATTCATAGGATTCTCCTGTACACAGCCAGTTTTCCAGAGCCTCCAGCAGGAGTTATATCAATTCATGACATCACAAAACATACAGGGAAATATATTCTGATCTGAAAGATCCAAACAGTAATTAATCTTCCCTTCTAATGATAACAACAGATCTCTTTAATTTAAACCTGTAAATGCATTCTATCTAAATGTGCCACACAAGCTGTCATGCTATGAAAAACATTTTGATTGACTCCTTTACAGGTATTTGATCAAGAAGCAAACAAACAGGCAGTGAGATGATAAAGTTATCATAGTGATTGACCAGCTAACTTGTAGATAGCTACACATTCATAATGTGTAGCTATGTCTCTGCCATCCAATCCATATGAATGAGTCGAGATACAGAAACCTGTGCCAAATGTTGCTCAGGCTTTACTCTGATAAAAAATAATAATAATCAATAAGTAGACAAATATTACTTCAGCATGTAATTTATCACATCTTATCAAAATCTTTCTCCTTCCAAATGGAAAGTCTGCACTTTACACAAATCCACTTCCAGCCATTGAGATTCTTGTTCAGTTCAGCGTCCTCCTGTTCTTGCATTCTAATAACTTCTAAAAGCATCTAACAGGGAGGAGAAATTCTACAAGAAAGACAAATCTCTGTGAAATGTATAATCCCACAGGAGGAAGCTGTAGAGCAGAAGTATACAACTTTTGTATTTCAGAATCTGCAGTTGCAATATGATCTCTCCTTTGGTAACACAGAGCACTTAAACACACCGAACTTAGTCAGTTTCAATTCGTCTTTCACCCTCTCCCCCCCTTAGCTGCCAAACAAGATTGCTTGAAAGTCCTTTCAGTACAGCCCTGCAGCTGATGCTACAGTTGCTTACTGCATCCCCATCTGACTCAAAGCAATAAAGGAGCAAAAACCTTTCCCCAAAGTTTGATTATTTCTTTACCTTGTGTGGAGCTCCCGAGTCAAGATGCTCTCAGAACTCTCCAACAGTTTGAAACAGGACAGCGAAGTGCAGAGGAAGTTTATGGTGCTCACCTTAAGTTGGCGTGTGCGTGTGTGTGCCTATGTCCCGAGTGTCTCTTTGTGGCTCTAGGTGGCAGAGGACCTGATTCAGGGAAAAGAGAGCCACTTTCTCACCGAGAGGAAAAGAAAAGCAACACGTCATAAGTTAAGTACGCCTCCAAGATGTCTTAATTACAGCTCAACGTGCTTTCCATTCAAACCCCAGGAATGAGAGGAAAAAATAAACCCACACACGCGGTCTGTCTCACTCACTCACACACAGAGCGTCCCAGCATGCTGCCCTGTCCTGCTAGGTCCCTGCCCCAGCCTCCTTGTCCCCCAGCTTCTGCCCTCCCAGAGCTGCACCTAAAAAAGCTCTGCATTGCATACCAGATCCAAGCTAAAAAAAAAAAAAAAAAAAAAAAAGTTTTCCTCATGAAGGGATCATTGAATTTGGGGTGTGGGACACCCTGAGAAACGTGATACTTCTGACCACTTGCCTCTTCTCGCTTGCAACCGCCCCCCTCTTATTTGCCCCCACCCTGCCATTAGCTCCAAGGGTGGGAACGTGGTGGTTTCAGACAGGGGAGAAAGTGATGCATGAAAGGCGGAGGTGTGCAGGGGTAGAAACAGCTGGACCTGACAGGATCCCCTTGTGCTTTTGTTTTACCTCAACTTCCAATTGAGCTATTAATCCAAGAACATTGTCCGGCTTCTCTCATCACACCCCAATTACAGAGTGTGCCTTGCTCACCGAACTAGCACCACACAGCCCTCAACGTCAGCAGCTTCTGTCCCTGAGTATCTCTTAACACCACCTCAAGTTAAACTGGTCCTCCATCACTGAAAACCTACGGATTGGGGTGCATTTCACATCAGGAGACACAGAGCACTCCAAAACATTCAGCTAAAATATAAACAACATTTGCCTGGAACCTCCTAAATCACATAGCATGCAAAGTGAACACATTAAACTTAGTCCCTTAAAACTACAGACAAAGCTGCTGTAGTTGCTTTGTTGCTAAATGTGATCATAATAATTATAAAAAAGACCAGCCCTGCACCCCTCCCCCCAAAAAACAAACAAACAAACAAACAAAACAAAAAAAAAACAGTCTTGGTGCCTTGGTGATGTACTAATGTGTGACAAATTGGGACACAAATAATGTTATCTATATTGAATACAAATGTTGCAGCTTTTTGTTTTGTTTGAAAAAAATACACTTCTTGATGCTTGATCCTCCAACAAGAAGTAAAAAATTTATGTACAATTTCTCAACTTCTAAATTCTGCTAGATTAGAAAACCCAGGTAACCCAGGCAACTTGGTCTTGCAGATTCATTTCCTTCTTTCACAAATGCTAAATGGAAGCATGTAGCTGTGTTACATCCACTGCAAGTCTCTAACATCATTTTTCAGCCCGGACCCTGCTAGGCTTTTATCATTGTGGGTGTCAAACTCTCAGCCTGCACCATCAAAAGAGGCTGCAGCTCATCAATCCTCCCTGATCAGGAAATGCCAGAGCCTGCACATCCTGGTGCAAAAACACTCCTGACGCCGCTGGTTCTACCAGAGTCACCACACAGGGGTCAACCACTGCTGTGTCTAATCAGCGACTTCACAGTGAATCTCATTTAAAAATAATAACAAAAAAGGAAAAAAAAAAAAAACAGGAAAAAAAGGAATTCTGCCTAGATATATGAAGGCAGTTATGCATAGCTATTGGTGAGTCATTTCAGTACTTAAATGGGGCTTACAAATGAGATGGAAGGCAACTGCAGATAGTGTTAGTACAAGGGGGAGTGGCTTTAAACTAAAAGGATGGAGATTTAGATTAGGGGAGATGAGGATGAAATGCTTCGCTCAGAGGGTGGTGAGGCCCTGGCGCAGCTGCCGGCAGAGCTGTGGTGCCCCATCCCTGGAGGGGCTCAGGGTGGGGCCCTGGGCAGCCCGAGCTGGGGGTGCAACCTGCCCGTGGCAGGGCTTGGAGCTGGTGGGCTTTAAGCTCTCTCCCAACCCCAAGCCATTCTGTGATTCCGTGATAACAGTAACACACGTTCACACGGCAAGGCTAAGAGCTGTCGCGACCGGGCTGCCCCGGAGCCCTTCGCCTCGTGCCGGACAGGAGGCCTTGAAGCAGCCGGGCTGGAGGAAAGCACGGCGGAGAGCTCCCTCACACACCGGCCCTGAGGCGGACCCGGGCCGCGCCGCCCGAACAAAGAGACGTTTCTTCGCGGCGGCGGGCGGCCGCACCGCCCCGCTGCTCCCCGCCTCCTGCCAGCGGCCTCCGCCGGGGAGGAAGCGGCCTCATATTTCAATAACAGAGGGGGCTTTGATGGGGCACGGAAAGAAAACACACCCCCGGCAGCAGGGCGAAGGAGGGAGAGGCAAGGCGAGAGGCGGTGCGGTGCGTGGCCTTCCCTCCCCTTCGCGGAGGGATTCGGGGTTAGCGGCTCGGTAGTTGGGCGGCGTGGAGCCGTGTGGGCTCGCTCCGTCCCAGCTTTGTCTGCAGGTGTGGCCCGCTTTCCGTGGCTGGTGGTGGGATTGAGGGCCCCGCCGAGAGAAGCGCGGCGGCAGTGAGCCGCAGTGCGCATTGCTGAGTTTTACCTCTATTCCTTCGGATGTGCCCACTTCTAGCCCTTCTCATTTGGTTGTTCGTTGTTTTTTCTCTTCTGCAGTACACAACAACATGAAAGGCCTTTTGTTTATTTATTTTTCTCCTTATTTCTCTCCACTTTTTCTTCCTCGTGTTAATAAACAGAATACTTACAAATTTAAAAAGGCCATGCCAGTTGCAGCACTGAAAGGGCTGAAGAAATAAATATGAGGGGAAAGCCACGGCATGTGTTCGTAGTGATGTTTCTTTTCAAATACCAGAGATTTTCAGAGTGATGCTTAGTAAGCTCCAGCTGAAGAGCAGTTCCACACGCAGGTCATCGCTCTATGCATTCATTGCCCTTGGGAAACATAAGTAACTACAAGATTGTGTCTATAATGCTCATGAAGGATGTTACATTTGCTTTGTTCTAAGCATAGTTTAGATTTTATTCCCCCACTAATATCTGATCATGAAAGCATGCACAATGAAAGCTATTTACTTTAACCCAGACCAGATAAGATGAACGGATGTTATGTTTGCCCTTACCTTGGAGCAGTGTAATGACAGGCAACTTCATAGTCCTACTGATTATTTTTCATAGCACCTCAGATCACATCAATAACTTTAAAAAACGTTCAATACCATTGTTCCAAAGATCTTGATATATATATATTTTTTTAAGTATATATGCAAGGGTGGTATTTTTTGCAAAAGCAAATACTCAAATTCACAGGACTGTTTTAGAAAATAATTTGGAAATCTCACTGTTACTACTTAAAATTGACTATATTCTAAGATCTGAGAAGACGTACACTGAGAGAATAGCATCTGAAACAAAGACCCCCTGATAAAGCAAAAGAATATGTTAGGAAGGGTTTCAGGTTTTTATTTTGGTTTGCCTTGTCTAACAAATTCATCATTTCATAAGCTTCCTTGATTTCGGGCTGAGGAATTATTGAGTTACCCACTCTCAAGGTATATGAAACTCATACCATCCTGAAGTTAATGTTATACATTTTCAGTCACTGTGTTTCATGTGTTCATTTTTGGGGAGCATATATAAAAATTAGACCTCCTTGGTTTTGGGATATAATCTATTTAGAATTTGCTCCCAAAGGATCAGAGATTAGCACCTAGTGCCAGGTGCTTATCAGTAATTTATTTCCTTCAAGAAGATTGTTGTCCCACAATAAATGTTTTGTCTCTTCTTCAGCTGTTTATGGTTCTTAGTTCTCTTTTATTTACAGACTTCTTCAAAATTTCTTTATCATTCTTATTATATATATCTTCCTGGTCAGTAAGGGATTTGCTAAATGATGCCAGTCCTGAAGGCTCATCAGAAACTGCCACTCTCATACTTTCCCTCAGTTCTGTTCACTGCCATTCATTGTTATTTTAGTTTAGTCATTCAGTCACCTTCCAGTTCATGTGATAGTGATCTTTCACTAGTCAGTCTTAATAACTGTGAATCATAGTACTGAAGAATAATAAACAGTGAGCTGAAACTCCAGGGCTCTGCCAATGAATGCTATGCAAAAATATTCAGTGGAGTAACCTGACAAGGTTTATGTGATCTTTATGTGCTTAAAAAAAAAAAAAAAAAAAAAAAGCATTCTCTTTACCTTATCTATTGTCCTCAATTTTTACTGAGTTCAATGTTAGCTGTTGCAACTTTTAGCTTAACACTGATTATCTTTTGATGATATATTCACATGAAGTGGTATGTTCTTTTAACACGGAAAAAGAGAAAACTGCTAAGAAGTCAACTTGACAGCAGAAATGAAGCACACTTGATCCCACTGTGGAAGAAGACATGAGGTAAAAGCTAATATTACAGTGAAAAATGTAGGTTATGCATTTCTTCTGTTCGGAAAATTCAGCAGGATGGACACGATGACTCACCAGTATGAAGCTGCATAAAGGAAAAAAGCAGAAGAACGGCTCATTTTAAGATAAATCCTACATGTTATCAAAAATTATTATTAAAAAAGTAATAATTAAAGACAAATACAGACATGGGGAGAAATCAAGCAACATGCATAAAAAATTTAAAAATCTAAGCAAAAGCCAATATAGTAAATCATTTGTTTTCTACACTGTCTGAAATGAAAGGAAATATTTTCATGCCAGCTGAACAGCCTGCTTTCCGTTTGAGATTATTTATAGTTATAGTGTCTTTCTTTTCAAAAATTGTGCTTTTTACAGTATGAGGTTGTTTCCTTCAAAGTAATTGTCGAATTTTAATGAAACTAAGGTTTGAACATTCATAGTTGTTTAACAATTGTAGCTAGATAATCTTTTACAATATTCTTATTTCCACTGATAAAGAAATTGAGCACCAAAAGAGGTTCACAAAAAAAAAAAAAAAAAAAAAAAAACAACCAAAAAACCAACCAAACAAAAAACAGATTATATCACTTTCAAAATTAATTTCTCTGGAGATTGAGGCAGAAGCTTCATGAAAGGAATTCGCATGGTCTTCATTTTGCCTGATAATATCAAGAGAGTCATTTTCACATAAGTACACTTTTGACTGAGCGCTCATCATAAAATCTTTACACATTTCCCTCTAGAATATTCATTGATCTTTTCTTCTGATCTATGTTATCTTTGCCTTGGAATCCAATTGGTCTTGTTACAATTTGAACCAGCTCTAGGCCTTTATGAGAAATATTTTAATGTTTATACTGTGTCTCACAA